TTCCTCTTTTTTTTTTTTTTTTTTTTTTTATGGTGTTTACACTTCTGAAGTATCTGAATCAGTATCACTTGTCCCGTTAAATGCTGCTTAATGAGCCTGCTAGTATTTGTCCATGTTTAATCTTCCCCCATTACTCAGTGCCTCTAGACCCTGATTGTTTAGCGGCTGGATTTCTTCCAGTTGACTTTCCTCTTTTTGCTATCGAGGTATCTGGGGTGGATTGGCTCAGAGACGGACATTCTGAGTCCTGCATAGTCTCTGAGCTGCACAAGGTAGAATGGTTCAGACCTCTTACTGTGCTTTTTCACCTTACAAAATACACCTGCAGCCAGCAGCCCCCTGTCACCATCTCGTCTCTTACAGCACTATTCCGTTCTGTTTTATGCTTTCCTGAGTCTTCCTCATCCAACCATATGAGAGTACTCCAAAGAGCCAGCAGAAAAATGAGGTGAACAGGGAAGTTCATTTTGGCACAAAAGAAATTTGAGATCTAGGTGTCATCTTCTCTTAATATGCATTTCCCAGTGGACTTTTGGAAGACCCACGCATGCATGGATTTCCAAATATTTTTGCACCGAAATAAAATTCTCTTCAATTTTTTAAAAATTTTTATTTATTTATTTTGACAGGCAGAGTGGACAGTGAGAGAGAGAGACAGAGAGAAAGGTCTTCCTTTGCCGTTGGTTCACCCTGCAATGGCCGCCGCGGCCAGTGCACCGCGCTGATCCGATGGCAGGAGCCAGGTGCTTCTCCTGGTCTCCCATGGGGTGCAGGGCCCAAGTACTCGGGCCATCCTCCACTGCACTCCCTGGCCACAGCAGAGAGCTGGCCTGGAAGAGGGGCAACCGGGACAGAATCCGGCGCCCCGACCGGGACTAGAACCTGGTGTGCCGGCACCGCAAGGCGGAGGATTAGCCTAGTGAGCCGCGGTGCCGGCCATAAAATTATCTTCTAATTCAGTTTTTTTTTTTTAAATGAACTTTTTGAAGTATTCCCATATTTGAGCTTTGCTTTTTCTGCTTCTTCACTATTTATTTCCATTTTCTTTTAGCACAGCCCAGTTAGTTTCTTGGAGGATTCTCTGATTTTATTCTTGCTGGAATAATTCATGAATCTCTTCTGCAGTGCCCCTCAAGCAGAGAAAGGGGAGTGGAGCCAGGACTTGAACCCAGGGACTCTGATAAGGGATGTCCCAACTGGCAGCTTAACTTCTATGCCAAAGACCCACCCCTGAATGGCAAGTTTCTAAGTCCCCGAAATGTCATCATCCAAGGGTGATTCCTTTCACTGACTCAGTGAAGCTGTGAAAATGCAAACAGCTCCAAGGGTTGAGTCACTCTCAGAGCTGGCTCTAAGAGGAGACCCGTAATTTTAAGAGAGGAAAGAGGTAGTATTCCCGCTGTACTCCAGAGGACTGGGCCTGGGTCTGAGCTGCACCAGAGATCTGCTGAGAGCTCTGGGAGAACTTGCAAGGGACGAATGAGAAGGACCGGTCCTCATGTATGTGTCCCTTTTCTCCTAAATCTTCAATGACTCCCTAACTGCCTGTGTTGTGAAGCCCATATGAAGGGCCTCTACAAAGTTCCCGGAAAATTCTCATTAGGAATTTCAAAGGGTCTTGCACCCAAATACCATACCTCTCATTCCGTCTTTGCTGAACTTTTGGAAATAGCCTCATACTTTTTAGCCTGGCACGTGAGAGCCTGCACGCTGGCCCACTGCTTGCACATGACCCTCAGCGTGCTTCATCCAAGTTCATGGTTACACTGTTCACCCTCTGCTCCTCCTCCACTCGGGGTGCCCTTGCACCTGCACCTCCTGATGTTTCTTGGTTGGAGAGCTCCCTCTCTTTTCTCTGACTCTTCTCTCTCTGAGCTTTGATGAAAGGCTGCAGTTTCTGGGAAGTCTTTTCTGATGTAAAGACCACACTGGGGATATCATACAGAAAAGTGATATAATTCCAGCAGGCTCTTATCTGTGTCCTCGGACAGGAAGCCCTGAACTGAGTTTGGATGTCTGGTCTTTTATGTAACATTAGCATGAATTTAACAGGGCTATTTGTGAAATCGTTTGGTCTGGCCCTGCCAAGGCAACTGCAGGCAAAACTCAAAATTCAATAAATATATAGCAGACTAATTTTAAGTTGATAATTTTGTAAGATCTGCAAATAATGTAAATATCCAAATGGCCCTGAGCAAAAAAAAAAAAAAAAATTCACGGCCCCTGATTTATAATCTAGAAAGCAGAAAATGAGCTGCTATAAATGTTACCTTTTGCTGTAGGAGACTTGAAATTTTAAACAATAAACGTTTATTTTTTTGAAGTTTTTTTCTTTTGAAAGGCAGAGTGACAAAGAAGGAGGGACAGAGAGAAATAGAGACAGAGATAGGGATAGATAGATCTTCCATCTGCTGGTTCACTCCCCAGATGGTCCCAACAGCTGTGGCTGGGCCAGGCTGAAGCCTGGATCCCAGAACTCCATCTGGGTCTCCTACATGAGTTGGCAGGGATTCAAGTCCTTGAGCTGTCAACTGCTACCTTCCCAGATACATTAGCAGGAAGCAGAATCAGAGGTGAAGTAGCTGGGACTTGAACTGGCACTCTGATACAGGATATGGGCATCCCAAGTGCTGGCTTAACCCACTGTGCCACAATGCCACACCAGTGAACATTTGCTGAGTGCTTCACATAGCATGTGTTGAGAGCCCTGCAGATGGAGGAATCAATCTCGAACTCCTTATCTCTATCTCTATTTCTATCTCTGTCTCTGTCTCTGTCCCTGTCCCTGTTCCTAGCCCTAACTCTCCCTCTCCCTCTCCCTCTCCCTCTCCCTCTCCCTCTCCCTCGCCCTCTCTCTCACCCTCTCTCTCTCCCTCTCCCTATCTCTCTCTCTCTCTTCATCTCCAACTCCATCTCTATTGTCATAGAGCTGAATCTGAAGAAGCTCATGCTCACAATGGAGAACCACTCAAATGTACAGGAATGATAGAGCGTAATGGCAAATGTATATTAGAGAACAGAGCAATAGAGTAGGGAAGTGTTGCACAACTTATCGCTTTGGCATAAAAAAACCGAGAAAACACACGAACGAGTTCTCGACCTACGCTTGCCCCGGTACTTCTTCATGGGGAGAGAATTATGTGGGACGTGACTTGGCGAGGAAGAGAAGTCCAAGGTAGCAGAGGGAGAGGGACGGAGCAGGAGGGCATTAAGTAGAGAGAGAAGAAAAGTAGCGGGGGGGAGTCTGTACGAATAAAAAAAAAGGATAGAACACGTAGTATCGGAGGTAGGCCGTAAACATCATACGCAGGACGAGACAGTTATCAGTGAACAGGACCTAGCCACGACAGGCGTATTATGTCGACGACGCCGGGAGGACTATGCATGATCGCGTTGGAGTTACGTGCCGCAGGTTCCGAGCTGCATGGCCAGATCAGCCGGCGGTTAGGACTAATAGGGACGCACAGCGCGTGCGCCACGACCCAACCAAGCACGGTCCCACATCCTTT